CAAGCAAAAGAATAATTTTTAGACTCTATAAGGTTAGTAAAACCCAAAAATGTAGTAGCTTTGTGCATAGGCGGTTTCAGGGGGGGGGCAGTCCATTACCCACCCACCCCCTGAGTGAAATTAGTAAAGAATCAAAAGGTAATTTGAAAGCATCAAAATCAACATTTGAAAGCATCAAAAGCAACAAGCAATCAAATTTGATGCCTTACTTACTCTATTTTGAGAAAATATAAACGTTCCAGTCAAATTATGACTTAATAAACTAAGAATTAGGAATCATTGCTTTTCCCTGTCCTTTCCGGATGGATTTAAGACCACAAATATTTCCTCATTCGGTTGTTAAACAAGATGTAAGAAATCCTTCATTTTTCTGGTCAAAAAATATTTTTGATGCCTTTAAGAAAAAACTCTAGAAAGGGCAAGTTTTGGCAAGAGAGGAAGAAGAATTATTGTGACTTCTAATTTGAGACTTAGAAAGTGTCTTAGTCATAATTTTGTCTCAAAAAACAGGCTTAGACATATTTTTGACTTTTGCTTGTGACTGAAAATCTCAGGAATAGTTTTGTCTCAAGAGTTATAGTTTAGAAAGTGTCTTAGACATTATTGGGTGTGAAAAGTATGGCTGTGAGGTAATTGCGGCTTAGAACTGTGACAAGCAATGTGCCTTATAATTAAGCCCAAAAATGTGAATTAGACATGATTGGGACTGAGAAGTGTTTTTGTGACTGAGAAAGTGTCTTAGACAAAGCTGCGAATTAGAATTTCGACTTAAAAAGTGTCTTAGTCACAAATTGGTCTGAAAAGTAAGACTTTGAAATGATTGTGACTTATAACTGTGACTTAGAATGGGCCTTGAATATAATTGAGCCAGACAACTATGATCATTAGACATAAGTGTGATTGAAACGGCGTTTCAGACTTAATTAACTTAATTAATTAATTAACTGTGACTTAGAATGGATCTTAAACACAATAACGTCTAAAAAACATGATTTTGAACTAGCTTTGAGTTAAAGTTGAGCCTCAGTATGTGTCTAAGACACATTTGTTACTTAGAAAGTGTCTAAGGCATGTTTGTGGCTTCAAAAGTGTTTTAGACATAATTGTGACTTAGAACAGTGACTTAGAAATTCTCAAAGTATTAGTTTGACATAGCATGGTGACTTAGAAAGTAAATTATACATAATTGTTACTTAGAAAGTGTTTTAGAATGTGTCTAATGCATGTTTGTGACTTAGAGAGTCTGTTAGACATAATTTTGTCTCAAAAGTTTGAGTTCGACGTAGAATGGTGACTTAGATATAATTGTGACTTAGAAAGTGTCTTAGACATAAGCATGTCTCCAAAGTAAGAATTTTTCATAGACTTGTGACTTAGATAATTCGGTCTCAAAAGTTGACTTAGAACTGTGATTTGAAATATGTCTTACCATGACTTAGACATGGGTTTGAGTTAGAATTGAGACTTGGAATTTGTCTTAAAGTAACTTAATCTGGATTCTATGGCCATTATATCTTAAAGTGACAGTTTTGATGCTTTAGTATGAAAGTTTAAAACTAAAACTTTGTGATATAAATATTGCCATATTTCATTCATTTCAAGTGGCCCAAGAAAACTAGTTTTTCGTAGACTAGGAGAAGGGAGTATTTTTTTATTTACTTTCAGTCTTCTTATGGTAAACTTTTATTTTTAACTCTAAATTTAACATAGAAACTATTTGAAGTCTCCTGCAAGAAAAATTAGCATGATTTGAGAAGCATTGCTTATAACTAAAAGAGAAAGAAAAATAGCAGAAAAATAAAAATAATTCTCCCTTCCTTAGACTAACATGATTGATATGTTATGTTAAATTGTTAAATTGCTTTGGTTTCGCTTAGATACCATTTTTGGTAATTAAAAAGCGATTTTGCACTGGTTTTTTTTTCACAATGTATATTTTCGACATTTTTTACATGCTCATCATAACTGTTCTTGAATATGTTTAAAGATTTAGACTCCTTAATATAATCCGGCAAACTGTTCCATGGGTTTATCACTCTCACAGAAAAAGAGTTTAAATGTAAAATGTATGCATGTAAATATGCAGTGTCCCATTATAAAGTTCTGCAATCTTTAATATTTTTTTTGATAAATAAATGGATTATAAAGGCATTTTCCCTACCCTGTAATAAAAGGTAAAAGAAACTGTAATTTTAGTATGGTTAGGAGGGTAAATAGAATTTTTTAGCTTTTAATAAAATTTAGGGCAAATAAAATTTAAAAAAGGTATCAATATTTTTTCAGAAAAGGGGTTTTTAAGGAGGGGCACAATGTTGCCAGGGGGAACCCAAAAAATTGTGCCCCCCTTAAACAAATGCCCTCGTAAACCCCTGCCTGGCTTAATGTAAACGTTCAAAAAATATTTTGAAAAAAAAATTCGAATTTTTTAGCCCAAAACAACCCGGCCACACATGAGTGTCCGTTTGCTAATAATTCGCCCCTGGAGAGTACAATGTCGTCATCAGTGGCGGATATAAGGGGGGTTATTGAGGTTATTTACCCCCCCCCTAGAATCCTGGGGGTAAATCCTAGAATCCTAAGGGTAATTATACCCCCCCCTAGAATCTTGGAGGTAATTATACCCCTGAACATATATTCAGGCCCTGAATAGCAGGGGTTACTCCACTTGCTGCCTCTTCAAGTTACAGTTGCCTTGACCCCTTCACTTCAAAAAAAATACATTCCCTATTGCTTAGTCTGCACTCAAGTGTAAAGGTACTTCTATATTTTCATGATAGTAAAAGTTTTTGCGGCATTTTGCAGATGCCTAAACAGTTATAAGCTTTGAAAACTGTAAAAAATTTAAACAAAAAATGTAAATGGAACTTATGTATATTGATAATTATGGTTGCTAACATGGCTACGGAACACCATGAAAACAGAAAGGCTATCTAGCCTTGCACTCATGCACTCCCATCCAGGGGCATAATGGAGTTAAGTGATAAATTTGTAAAGTTAAAAAGTTAGTTTTTCAAGCAAAGGAATAATTTTTAGACTCTATAAGGTTATTAACCACCCAAAAATGTAGTCTTTTTGGTGTGTTTTTATGGTGAACAAAACAAGTACAGGTTTTGCCCCCCTTAAACAAAAGCCCTCGTACGCTCCTGCTCCCATCCTAGTAGATTAAAATCAATCAAACATGAAGACGTACATTCTTAACAAGTTTTTAAGCGCCAAGCCGCGCCGACTTTTTAATGGAGGAAGTTGTTACTTTGTTTTTGTTTTTAAAAAAAGGTTGATTTTAAAATTGAATATCTTTTAAATTTGCACGAAAACAATTAAAATGTGCACTGTGCAGATACGTCGGAATCAGATATTTCAAATTTTAAGTCAACATATTCTAAATTTCTAAATTCTAAAGTAATAGTCAATGTCATTAAAATTAGATGTTTTTTTAATAGAAAAAAAATGGTATGGACACTAAAAAAAACATTAATTTACTTTTAAATAATGTCATTTCCACATTAGATTTCGTTAATTAAGATCTTAACATATACTACATTGACGACAAGACAATTTAACAATTTGAGTAATGGCCATATTTTTTCAAAGTTTGGCAGAATAGCTTTTCTAAAGATTTAAAAAAGTAACATTTTTTTCCTCTTAGAGTAAAACTATTAGTTTTTATATTACTGCCTTTTTTGTCAATGTTTGCGCAGCAAACTTAATATAAAAAGTTTAGTTAAAATAAAATAAATTCAGTTTTTTTTACAGATCTCTGTAGTTAATGTAAAATGAATGACATAATGAAGGGTATATAAAACAAGGTGAAAGCTGAAAGGTATGTATAATGAAGCCTTAATATTAGATTGAGTTTGTAAATCCCATACAGAAATGAGTGGAAAATGCAAATCAAACCCAATTAAAACCAAATCAAAAAATTTTACCCCCCCCCCCTTCAGAATCCTTATATCCGCCCCTGGTCGTCATCCATTGTACTCTACACCTCCCCAACCTCCCCACCCTAAATATACAATACTTTCTTCCTGGCCCTAGACCTATCACCGCACGGTGTCGTAATTCCTTGTTTTTATCTTTCCATTCACACGTACTATGTATATATAAACGAACACACACATAATTATACTTTATATATATACGTTGAAATCGATGGAATGGCCTACTGCAGTTATAGCATAAAGTACGTTATACGGGGCCAATAATATTGTCAATGCACTAATATCATTTAACATGAATTGTTTTGTTTTAGGAATTTATTAAAGAATACTTCTGAAAACTTATACTTTCCTGATAGTAATAACTTTAAGGTTATCTCTTGAAAATAAGAAATGTGCGAGTTAGTACTTTTAGGGCCCCACAACTTGGTCTTGCAGCTTTTTGAAAGTTGATTCGTTCTTGAATTGAGAACAGAACGTACTTTGTATCGAGTTGCGGGGCCCAGTCTCTGTATGGAGCTGCAGCGACCTGCCACCCGCACAGCAACTCAGCCAGCTTCAGTCCCAGTAGTTAACAAACTCTCGTACATTAGTAACCCTTCTAAATATCAGAAGCTTTGTACAGTTACATAATTTTTTCTTCTATAAATGAAAAACGGAAAAAAATTTGCATCCTTCAATTGTGATCAAAGGTCACATTAGTGTTTAATGACTTAATTCATATGGATACAATCTTTTTTTCCAGTGTCACGTGTAATATTTGTAACTATGTATAAATTCTAATCTAATTTTTTTATTAAAAGATATATATTTTTTTAGGACTATTTAAAATTCAACATTTTCCTCTATCATGATTTCGATCATAATTGTTCAAGTTTGCTGAGTTGCGCACGCGCCTTGTGCAATAAGTAAAAACAGTCTACAACGTGCACACTGAGGAAACTCGCCTTGCAACTTGTTCATAGTTTTAAGTACTATCATGGCATTTTTCCAAATTATGGAAGTATAACTCTTGTACTGAAAAAGTAAAAAGTTCCAACTATTAAAAGTTCTCAGACTTTCATGTTATGATATTCAAAACTTTTAGATTACTATGTCACTTTAATAAATTAGTCTGAGGCTCCTTAAATATGAGTATTGTGCGCGGGGCTTTTGCCCCGGGTCGAAATGGAGGTGGTGGTGGAAGTAGAGGAGCAGGAGGGGATGAGAAACCTCATGCTCAAGCTAAACTCCTCTCTCCCACAGAGAAGTGCAAGGCAATATTTTCGTTTATTCCACCCTGATTCTGTATCTGGATGTGATAAAGTAGTTTGATTCTTTAAGCAGATTCAAGTAAATAAAATAAAAATGTGTCACGCCGGGATGTCATGCTATTGTTTATATCTTGATACTATTCGTACAGGCATAGACTTGTTTATTGTTGCAGTATGAATTGTTTCCAGTTGTACACGATAGCACTCAACATGGATTTAATTAATAAAGTCCGTGTACTTTAACTCGTACTTTCTATCGTTTATCTCTTATTATGTAATCTCCGCATTTTGTTTTATCTTATCTTAGCGTCCTATTTCCTAAAATATATTTATGTATTTTTTACATGAAAATGCATTTTTTAATATTTTTTTCAGGTAGAATATTTTGAATCATCGTACTCTTATTTTTTTATTTTACAAAAACAATTCATCTGAAGATTTTTTTATGAGAGAAATCTTAAAATGTCAAGTCTTTTGAAAATTACTCATGTTAGTTTCTTACTCAATAGGGGTGTTCATGTTTAGGCTCACTTTTCGACATTACTCATGTTAGTTTCTTACTCAATAGGGGTGTTCATGTTTAGGCTCACTTTTGGACATTACTCATGTTAGTTTCTTACTCAATAGGGGTGTTCATGTTTAGGCTCACTTTTGGACAGAGATGCAAGGTCGACAAAAAGTTTCAAAATTTGCAAGATTTTCAAAAAAAAAGTTTTAAAAATTAAAAAAAAATTTTTAGGCTGCGCTAATTGATTAAAATTAAACCTTTTTTCACAAACTGTAATAGGCCCATCCCTAATTTAGTTATAACATATCAGTTATTATAGAGATAAACATGTCTAAAATACATAGTAAAAAATTAAAACCCTATTATTGACTGCAAAGGTGTTCCCCAAATGTGTTCTGGAACTACGACAAAAAAATCAATCAATCAATATTTTTTTTTCAACATTTTTGGCGCAAGTACGGCTAACTAAGGTAGAATGTTAATTTTTTTGTGGTCAAATTAGACCATTTCAGATAACATATCTGGACAGTTAGTCTCAACTTGTCTGGGGGGGGGGGGGGCGCTATTTAATAGAAATAGAAGAATTAAATCATAAATCTCCTCAATCTAAAAAAATCTTTATCCTCAACATTCTATCAGTACTTATTTTTACACATTAACTTGATATTTTTATTATGATTACTAACCTGTACAGGAAGAAATGGTCTGTTTGTATCATGATTACTAATTTGTACGAAAAGAAATAGTCTGTACAGGTTTGTAATCATAATACAACTAGACCATTTCTTCTTGTCAGGTTGAAAATCATAATACAACTTGATCATTTCTTCTAGTACAGGTTAGTAATCATAATAAATTAGACCATTTCTCAGATTTGTATAATAATTTAACGCTAGGCCATATCTCAGGTTAGTAATCATAATACAACCAGACCATTTCTTTTGGTACATCGTACACAATACAACTAAAAAGGAGTACAGATATCAAGTTAATGTGTAAAAATGAGTAAGGATAAGATAGTTCAAGAACACATTTGGCGCACACCTTTCCAGTCAAGATAGGGTTTTAATTTTTTACTGTGTATTATAGACATGTTTATCTCTATAAAAACTGATATGCATGTTGATAATAAAATTAGGGATGATTAGGGATGGGCATATTACAATTTTTCTGAAAAAAAAACGAAAAAAGGTAAAATTTTAATTAATTAGCGCATCCTGAAAAAAAAACTTGTAAATTTATTTTGAAAATGTTGTTAAATTTTGCAACTTTTTGGCGACCTTACATCTCGGAACCAAAAGTGACCGGGCTTTTTTTTGCATTAACTAGTTGTTAAAATACTTTTTTATCTACTTAAAGGATTAAAATATAAAAATTGTTCAGATATGCAACGAGCCGGCCGCCAAGCACATTCATTACGGAGCAATGACCTGCTTCAGCTGCCGGGCATTCTTCCGCCGATCAATCCAGAACAAAACCGCCAACTCATATACTTGCCGCCGAAGCCAGAATTGTGAAATCAATCTGAGAACTCGGAAGAATTGTCAATTTTGCAGGTAAAGTTCCTCAACATTATATATACAAAGTAAACCCTAAACGTATATGGTGCATGGCAAGGATGTAATGCAAGGAAAGTTATTTCAGAAGTGTACACTCAATCTTTCACATAAAAAAATCAATGAAATATTCTGGTCATAAGAAACTATTTTGTAAATTATCAAAACTATCAAATTTAATGCTTTTACTTCCTCGGATACCAAACGAACACTGATGCATCTATTCTTGTTTATAAATTCCGCCCAAAGAGAACTGGTTTCAATGTGTACGCAGAGTATACACGACCAGGGATCGGAAATTGAGTTATCAAGAAAAACCGTCGCGTAATTTAAATTTTTATTGTTAGAGCCTACTTCTATAAAAATGTAAACTTCAGAAAAAATGGAAAAACTTGAGCTCCCTAAGTAACTGTAAATGTACCAGAAATTTATTCAAGTTTGATATTATGTCTAGGTACCAGAAATGTCTTCAAGTTTGATATTATCTCTAGGTACCAGAAATGTCTTCAAGTTTGATATTATGTCTAGATACCAGAAATGTCTTCAAGTTTGATTTTATGTCTAGGTACCAGAAATGTCTTCAAGATTGATATTATCTCTAGGTACCAGAAATGTTTTCAAGTTTGATATTATGGCTAGGTACCAGAATTGTCATCAAGTTTGATATTATGTCTAGGTACCAGAAATGTCTTAGTGTTGGCATGAAAACTAACTGGGTCCTTTCCGAAGAGGAACGCCAGCGTAGGTTCAGGAAAGTTCGAGAACGTCACGAAGCCAACGATCTACCTCAAAATCACATGCCAGAGGATGACTACCACGATGACGGAGAAGATGAAGTCGAAGAAAACGGCGGCCAGCTCCCAGAGTCAAACTCCTATCATGAGCAAAACGGCCGAGGTCAAAATTCATACGAGGAGGTTAGATCAATTCTTCAAAGTTCTTTTGATCAACGCGGGGAAAGGTTGGAAGACCCTCGGGAAGGTTCTAGTCGAGGATATTCCGCGGTATCCCTCCACCCTGTTCAAGTTAAGGTTGAGCCTAGGAATCCGTCTCCTAGTTACTATGATGTATCACAAATACAGGTAATAATTGTGTTTTTTTTCCGAACTGCCTTCCGTAAATTATAAATTATTTAAATTAACGCACTAAATGTTCCGGGCCTTCCGTCTTTCATTAAACCAAAGATATAACCGTTATCTTTGACGTAATGTTGTCGAATGCTTTTCCCGTAAATGGCATTTTCTACAGAAAATGTTTTCTCCAGAAATAATAATTTGTCTTTATTTTGAAATATGACCGAGAACTTGCTAAATGACCCTTAAAAGGATTATGTGGAACTATTTATACAATACTAATCTATTTTATCTTTCCAACTAAAAATATTTAGTTACTTCCCCCCAACCCCTCCCTTCTCTCTGCGTACTCTTCTCTATTTTTCTCTGGAAGGAAAACACTGGCTGTTACTAGGCACCCTTACTCTGATAATTATTGATAGAAAAATAAACATAGACGGGGGAGGAGGGGGCTCTTCAATACTTTATTTTGACTAACCAGCTCTGATAAACCTCCCCCCCCCCTTCCCCTCGACTACAATCCCATGAGCAATAAACATACACGGAGATGATTCTTTCTGTATTTACTTCCCTATCGTCATAAAATATAACCATGTTTATTGCTGATATTCAACAGTTACTCTTAGATACATATCTCGCCAAAATAGTTGCTGGGACGTATGTAGTTAATAGTTTTCCTTCTATGCGGTCTGGGTTCCCTTGGCTACCAGTATGTCTCTTTTCATCTTAGTTTTTGCACATACAAGAACTCTTATTTAAATGATTGCCCCCCCCCTCCCCCCCTAAAAATAAATTTTTTTTCAATCTTGAAAATTACGCTGTGAGCTTTGGAAAGAAAGAAATTTTTTCCCCCAGTAATGGGATTGTTCGCGAAAAATTAAAGGGGTATAGGCTAACGTCGAATCTATTTACGAATAAATTGAATTTAATTCGATGATTATAGGTTGTAATATCTATAAAAAATTATTAATTTAATTTCATTATTTCTGAGTGGAATAATTTAACTTTGTGAATTTGGACGCTACCTCTTCGGTATGAGTCGTGTTTAACCATTTTCTCCTTATAGGCGCAACAGATAGAAGTAAGAATAGTAGCGATCACCATCGAATTCGATTCGACGTTAGCCTATACCCCCCTTTCATTTTTCGTGAACCCTCCCTTTAATTGAAGGCTTACTGTTCTATAGATTATATAAATGTAATCTATCCTAGGTAAAAGATGAGCCGGGAAGTCGACCCTTCACTTCTCACATAACTTCTAGTTCCGACAATTCTAGTGCTCTCATCAACGCTATCTGCTCTGGTCGAGTAGATCATACTGTTCGTTCCAGCTCAATTTCTCCAGCTGTAACCCAGATTGCTGTTTCTGGGCATTCAAACCGGTTTATTCTGCCTGCTAACACTCAACCCTCGGTTATTGTTCAACAGAATCAAAATTTATGTACTAATGTAAGTAACCAATTTTAGAATTTAATTGAAAGGTACGTATAAATTGGTTTATAATATTTTATTTCACTTCAGGGGTGTAAAATTTTAAGACCTTTACCGGGCCTGTGGGGGGGG